TCCTTCCGCCCCCCCTTCCAAGAGTTCGGACACAATGAGAGCAAACGTCAGCGAGCCTTCTGCAAGCATGTAGCCTCCAGTCTTCCCACATTAACGATGCCATGAAATTCTTAGTTGGATCAACTCAGAAACTTTCCAGACATTGTCCGCGTGATTATGCTGCGGTTAGGCTAAGGAAATGGGACTATCAAGTCATTAGTGTTCCTATAATTGGAGAGAGAAAAAAAAAACATATACGACAATGGAATCTTGTTTCTGGGCAATTACTTAAAATAGGAGCAGATTCTATGTGAATTATGGAATTTATGTTTCTATCCAGATATCTACTTTCTGTATAAGATAAAAATCTCTAAGTAACACTGAATTAACTTTGCATCTTGACTGACCTGGCTGGCTAATTAAAGCAAAATATGATATAAAAACAAATATAAATGAGTATTCCAACATAACTTATCAGCAAAAAAATGTATATATACACATATACGTATATACACACACACATATATATATATATATATATATATATATATATATATATATATATATATATATATATATATATATATATATAAATGCAAAAGGCAAATCATCTTCCCCTTTTGCATTTCTCTTCATTAAAAAATTCCTCTCCCTCCCTTTCCCCTTCCTATTCTTCCAGTACTTACAGTGAGGAGCCAGTCAATCGGGAGGTTGATGGCGTTCTTGAGATTCAGAAGGTAGAGGAAACACCAGAGGGCTGTTGACACGAAGGCTGTGACGACGACGAACAGGAACCAGTGCGTGCCGTTCGTCCAGGCCGGGGCTGCGCAGGCCATGCAAAAGATGCCGATCACCTGCAGGAAGACGTGGGCGTGAAAAGGGCGTCCTGGGGGTGGCGGTGGTGAATTGTGTAGGATTTGAGATTATTGTATTTATCGTTTATCTGTAGGAATACTTTGGTGGGTGAAAAGTGTGTCGTTTAGGGGGACAAGTTGGGGATTTTGGTGAAATGCGTTATTGTTTGTGATTCTCGTTTCCATCATTTATTGGAGAAGGGTTGGGGTGAACAGTGCGTCTTCTGGGGAAATATGATAATGTGATTTTTTTGCTTTTATTACTTGATATGAAAAGGGTTAGATTGAATTCGTTTTAGAATGAAAAAGTAGTTTTTTTGGTGAAATGGGGGTGGGTGTTGTGTTTATTGTTGATTTAATTATGTATTCATATGTCTACTCATTCATTTATTTATTGCTATATATTTCTACGTAATGGGAGGTATTTTTGAGCTTCTTTACGTGAAATGGAGGATTAGTGCAGTGCTGGAGACGCCATGTTCTGTGTACAATGTTGGATGTTTTGCTCTGGATGATGATATTAACAGTAACAAAAAGATGGGATTCATAGCAATAAAATATTAACAACAGTACAATTAACATCAAATAAATATACATCGCAATGCAAAAACTCCTTTAACCCTGTTTATACAATTGATGTGCATAACCTTAGCGGCATCCTGTCGTAAGCTGGTAAATTATCATAACAAGGTAACTAACTTTTTTCCGTGCACACGTGTAAACCTTCAATATTTATCTAACTGTCTGGTTCATATGAAAAATGTGTTGCTGATCAAACGAAGCCATTTTATTACCGTAAATAAAACCGACCGGCAATGTTTCATATACACCAGATGATTATAGCGATAACTTTACAAACCTTTATTCTTGAAATAGGTGAAAATACCAGGTACATTATTCAAGTAACAATAAAAGCTTAAACGTGATCTCGCGAGGAGGAGGAGGGGAAGGCAGCGAGAAGAGCCTCCGCGGCCTGGTGTGTCGCCGCATCTGATGAGACAGTCAGCCAAGGAAGGCTGGCATCCTCGTTTGAGGAAAAGAACCGCCGTCCCTCTGTTGGCGTATGTGAAATGCAGGGTATTCGTGTATGCATGTGTCCATGTACACACTCGCGCGCGCGTACAAAAACACACACGCGAGCAATAAAAAAAAAAAAAAAAAAATATATATACATATATATATATATATATATATATATATATATATATATATATACACATACATATATACATATATATGCTTATATGCATATATATATATATATATATATATATATATATATATATATATGTATGTATATATATATATATATATTTGTATATATGCATATACATATATGTGTATACATACATGTCTATCGATCTATCTGTCTGTCTGTCTGTTTGTCTAGCTATCTTTATATATATATACATATCTGTAGAAACATGTACATTTATGTATAAACATTTATACCGTAACATATATATAAACAAACATATAATATGCGATATTGCATTCTTCCATCTTGAACATACAACCATGCACACACACACACACACACACACACACACACACACACACACACACACACACACACACACACACACACACACACACACACACACACATATATATATATACTTTCATCAGCACAAGAAGGCTTATCCTGCCTCGCCCCCACCCCCCCCCCGCCACATTTCACCGCTCTTATTCGCACCCCCGTTTCCATCACTGCCATAAGCACAACGGATCTTCGTCTCGAATCGGCAATGAAACCTCGAGCTTGAAAACGAGTAAATCCGGGTCAGTTTACACCCACACACAGCGGTGTAGTTGTCATACGAGTTGCTGTTACTATGCCGGGGTCAACTACCTGAACAATGTGGCACGTTAATGAATTTTCCTCTGTATTTAGGTCTGTTCCGGGTGATTTTAGCGTGTTTTAAATTAATTCTAATCAAGACATCATGAATGATTCGGTAAATAATAAAATTATTTCTACCGGTTGTGCATAGCTGTTACGGGCAATTTTACCGTAAAACATAATAAAGATACAAATCATTTCTTTTTAATGATTCTTTTCTTTGTTAATCTGTTCTGAGTGATTTTTTTCTTGTCTGAAAAGAAAGGAGGAAAAGAAGATCCCTGAATTTAAATGTATGCCAGATGACTTTTTTTCCTTCTTTTTTTTTACTTGCACTTGAATCTCTTCCGGGTGGTTTTGTCGCGTAGAAAGTAATGTTTTCCTACATATAAATTCGTTTCAGGTGATTTTCTCTAGTTTGAAATTTATTTAACTCTTATCAGGACGTTTAAAGGTTACATGATATATCTTTATCATTGTTCATTTTAATCATTCGACTAAGCTTTCCTTAAAAAGCAAAATCTACTGAGCTATCAGTGTCTCACATAAACCAATACATTAGAAATTAGTCTTATCGGACCAAAGGCGATAGCAGTTATGATAGTTACGCTAGTGGCAACAGAATCTGTGTGTGTGTGTGTGTGTGTGTGTGTGTGTGTGTGTGTGTGTGTGTGTGTGTGTGTGTGTGTGTGTGTGTGTGTGTGTGTGTGTGTGTGTAGTTGTAGTAGTAGTTTTAGCCATATGTAGTAATAGCAGCGTGTAGTAGTAGTATAGTAGTAGTAATAGCGATAGAATTAGTAGAAGTGCTCATAGCAGCAACAACAGTAGTAGTAGTAGTAGCAGTATGTAGTGGCAGTAGATAGTTGTAGCAATAGCCATAGAAGTTGTAGAAGTGCTCATAGCAACAATAGTAATAGTTGTCGTTGGCATAGTAATAGTAGTAGTAGAAGTACGAGTAGTAATAGTAGTAGTCGTAGTAGAAGTAATAGTAGTTGTAGTAATATTAGTGGTGGGAATTATTTCAGTTGCCTTTGCAACTATTGCTATGACGGCAGTAACACATACAGTTTTCTTTGTCCCTAAAATGGTAATGCAATAAACAAATGAATAATTAAACATATCAACAAAGCAACAATAACAAACCAGAAAGAGCAACCACCACAATAATAATGACAATGAAACAAATAAACATAACATGAAAAATACAGGAACAACCCAGGCAAGACAGCCACAAGGGGTCCCATCCCTAAACAACCAACAGCAGCGTGGTCTTGATATCAAAAGGCAGACCCGTAACTGGTTAAGGGAACCCTGGCGAAGGAAACCGCCCCGGCAGCTCCCTTAGGCTTCTGTGCGACCAGTTCGGAGGGGAGGGGTGGAGGGAGGGGGGAAGGGGGAAGGGTAGGGTGCACAGGTGTGACTGGGGTGGTGGTGGATGGGTGCGTGTGTGTGTGTGTGTGTGTGTGTGTGTGTGTGTGTGTGTGTGTGTGTGTGTGTGTGTGTGTGTGTGTGTGTGTGTGTGAATGCGAGTGATACCTCAAACCTTTGACATTAAAAGAAAAGAAAATGATCAAATACATTCAACACTGTACTGTATCAAAATATATATAGATTTTTTAATATGAATCTGAACTTCAGAGTTGCGTATTCAAGCGTCCTTCGTAATACCAAAGGCAAGCCGCTGACATTTCTTCATTGGAGGTGACTTGCAAAACAGTCACTCTCGATATACTTTTGTCTGAAAGTTCACAAGAACAACCAACTGTAACAGATGCATTTAACTAAATGATAACAAGAATAATAAAATCAATAAGCACATTAACAACGTTGATGATGATAGTGATGATGATGATAATTATTCTGATAATAATAACACATATAACTAAATGAGAACAATAATAATTCAAAAAACAAAAACAAAATATAACGACAGAAATATTAACAATGATAATAATACCAATAATAATAAGAAAGAAGGACTTTACTACCTGGTACAAAACAGCCAAGGATTCCTGTGTTTAATTTCCGTCTATTTCTTCCTGTAACTGTGACCATTTTTCTGACTGTTGTGGGGAAAGACTCCACGTAACTAACACCACATAATGATGTCCATTCCGACCATACCACGCCTCCAAGTCCATACCAGTCATACCGCCGGCGAGTTCTGTTCATACCAATCTTGGCGTTGGTCTCGACTCCATGAAAATATACTGATCCCAACGTAGGCTTACATCTCACATAAACAAAAAAATATATAGGCCTTTCACGTTTCTTGGGGAAATCTCTGAGAGAAATATTTATATATTTATTCTATCTTATCTTATATACGATGACGTGGGAGTCACAGTAATTGAAAGGAATAACTCGTAGTGGTCTTCGTGCCAAGGAAATATATGTATGCTTATGCAGTCTGAATCTGACATTATTTCTCCTCGTGTTAGGTATGCAAAGCATGCGGGTTTATATGTTTCATTACACGCTTTCGAACACACACACACACACACACACACACACACACATACACACACACACACACACACACACACACACACACACACGTGTCTGTATAAACAGATACATAGATATAGATCTCTGTTCAATGCAATTTGTCTATAAATACTTTTACACCAACCAACTTCTGTCAGTCCAAAATGAACATAAAACCACCGACACGACAGCCACCCAAAAGCACCAGTCGCTGCCCTTTCCCTCCGTCGCAGCAGATTCGCCAGTCCGCCTCGAGCTCCGCGCCGGCAGGGGACCGCACGGACGGAGGCGGCTTCGCGAGAGAGCACAGTGCGGTCACGGCTTGGCAATTACACAGGAGGAGGAGGAGGAGGTGGAATGAGGTCCTGATCTGAACGTACAGTTGGTTAGCTACATCCACTGGCACGCAACATAGAGGAAGTAACATCCCAAAAACTAAGTATTTGAAGGAACATGACTCGTGCTGGCACATGCATCAGATGCTGAGGCGAGCCTTCGTCTGGTGTGCCGTCATCGTTGTCTATAAATACTTTTACACCAACCAACTTCTGTCAGTCCAAAATGAACATAAAAACCACCGACACGACAGCCACCCAAAAGCACCAGTCGCTGCCCTTTCCCTCCGTCGCAGCAGATTCGCCAGTCCGCCTCGAGCTCCGCGCCGGCAGGG